GGCATTATGAGTATTTGGTGATGCCATTCGGGCTGTGAAACGCTCCATCTACTTTCCAGTTTGCTATGAATTTTATCTTCAAGGAGTATCTACATAAGTTTGTTCTAGTCTTCTTTGATGATATCTTGGTATATTCGAAGTCATGAGCTGAACATCTGGAGCATTTAAGAGTGGTGCTCGAAGTCTTGGAGGCTAACTCATTCCACCTCAAGCCGTCCAAGTGTTCGTTCGGGCAGGAGATGGTTGAGTACCTAAGTCACTTTATATCCTACGATGGCATGAAGGTGGATCCACGAAAGATAGAGGCTATGGTCGACTAGCCTAAGCCAACAAGTCTCACGCAGCTCTGAGGATTGCTAGGGCTCACGGGCTACTACAAGAAATTTGTGAAGGATTATGGGACCATCGCCAAACCACTTACTGAGATGACCAAGAAAGGCGGTTCACATAGACCAAGGCTAGCGAGGAGGCGTTTGAGATACTAAAAAGCGCCATGACTATGACGCCGGTGCTCTCCATGCCAATGTTTGATGTCTTGTTCGAGGTACACACAGATGCGAATGATATTGGAATTGGAGCTGTGCTAGTGCAGGAAGGACGACCCTTAGCTTATCTCAGCAAGGCACTAGGCACGACTCGATTGGGATTATCTGTGTACGTAAAGGAGATGCTAGCAGTTGTCGAGGCTGTAAGATGCTGGAGGCCATATCTATTAGGGCGTCGATTTTGAATTGTGACTGACCAGCAGCCACTCAAGCATCTACTCGAGCAAAGGATTGTTACTTCCGAGCAACAGAAGTTTGTCTCGAAACTAATGGGGTTTGACTTTGAGATATTCTACCGGCCAGGTCGACAGAATGCTGTAGCTGACGCATTATCTGGACGGACATATATAGCTGAGCTTAATGCTATCACCGGGCCAACGTGGACCATCTGGGACGAAGTTTGAAAGGCGCAAGAGGAGGATACTTATTGCCATGAGTTGCACCGGAAGATCGAAGCAGGAGAAACCACTGGTGATTATAAGCTGCACAATGACCTACTATTACATCGAGGCCGAGTATTCGTTCCCGACAATAGGCAGCTACGCGAGAAGATCATGCAGCACTTCTACGATTCTAAGATTGGAGGTCACTCGGATATCTACCGCACATGGATGAGGATAGCCAATACCTTTTTTTGGCCAGGACAGTAGAGCACAGTTCGGGATTACATCCCACGATGCGACGACTGTCATCGCACTAAGGCTGATTCACGCCGACCAAGCGAGCTGCTGCAACCGCTACCAGTACCCGAGGCGATTTGGAAAGACATCACCATGGATTTCATTGAAGGGCTGCCGAGTTCTAATGGGTTTAACGGAGTAATGGTCATAGTGGATCGACTTACCAAGTATGCTCACTTCATACCCATCACCCATCCTTACACAGCCAAGTCTATCGCCAGGTTGTTCATCGAATATGTGATGAAGTTACATGGAGCTCCGCGATCTATAGTTTTCGACCGAGATAGGATCTTTATGAGCAGATTTTGGTCCGAATTCTTCAAGTTGCAGGGGACGAAGCTATCCATGAGCTCAACATATCATCCCCAAACCGATGGGCAAACCGAGGTAACCAACCGAACTCTTGAGCAATATCTACGGTGCTATGTTCAACAATTTCTGAAGAGGTGGGAAAATTTTCTGCCCTGGGCTGAGTACTGGTACAATACTACTTACCATGAGTCGACCAAGATGACTCCATTTGAGCTGGTATATGGGCTTAAACTGCCAACACTGATCAACTACTCGGAGGAAGGCACGTTCAACGATGAAATCGTTCGAGAACTTGAGGAGCGAGATTTGATATTGCGAGAGTTGAAGAAAAATCTCGAAGGCTCGATTAATCGAACCAAAGCCTTCGTAGATGGGAAGCGACGAGAGGAGAATTACGCGCCAGACGAGTATGTCTACTTGAAGCTGCGACCGTTCAGGCAGCGCACAACGGCACAGAGGGCAGCACCTAAGCTAGGAGTGCGATACTATGGGCCTTATCAGATTCTAAAGCGCATCGGTCAAGTAGCTTATCGACTAGAGCTACCCGAGAGTTCACAGATCCATCCAGTGATACATGTCTCTCAGCTAAAGAGAAGTCTTGGAGAATCGCACAAGTGGTGCAAGGAGTTACCAGCGACTGCAACCGATGGAAGGGTCATAGTCCGACCAAAACATGCAATTTAGTACTGAAAAGTCAGGAAAGCTGAACGCTACCAGTGGGAAGTACTAGTCGAGTGGGAAGAGTTGCCACAGGAGGAAGCCACATGGGAGGATCTAGATGAGATACGTGATTAATTTCTGAGTTTTACCCTTGAGGACAATGAAGCGCTTGAAGGGGACGGGAATGATATGGAAGTGGCTAGGCAGCTCAAGAACGCCGCAAGTCGCGCCTATCACGCACGCAAGAGGATGGCACGGGCCACTGGCAAGACGCACGTCCTAGAGCAAGATACGCGCATGGAGCGCGGAAGTGGCCAAGCAACGGGCACGGACGATGGCAGACGACTGGCGGGCGAGACGAGCGAGCAGGCGGCCGCGGGCATAGGCGCGTTGCACACGAGTGCGGACGCGGGAGATTCACGGAGCCGAGAAGCGCGTGCGGAGCTTGAGGCCTTATGCCTCGAGGCATGCAGCAAGGCTGGCAGGGCACACACGCGCGCTAAGGCAGCTGGCAGCAATGACGTGCGTGACACGCCGGGTGAAGGTGCACGCGCAGGGCGCGAGACCCCAATCCTCGAGGAGTGCGGCAATTCGGGGCGGGCGTGTGGGGACGCGCGCGAGGGCGGCGCCAACGCGCAGGCGTGCGCAGCAAGCAAGGGGTGTGAACACGCACTGGCGAATTCAGCGACCCTAGTCCTCGAGGACTAGGGTGAGGGCGCGCGGGCGGTGAGGCGACCGAACGTGCGAAGAGAAGAGAGAGAGAGAGAGAGAGAGAGAGAGAGAGAGAGAGAGAGAGAATTACTTGGAGTGCACACCAAGTGATTTTGTTTCCATCTAGCTTTATGATTTCTAGAACGTTTGGGATTTCTAATATTTTATTGCTTTATTAGTTCCCTAGGTAGATTAGGACTAGATATTTTGTGCCTATATAAAGGCCCCTTCCCCATGTTATTTTCATCATTCAGTTTATCAATAAAAATCTGAACTTCTGTTCAAACACTTTGTCTTAGATTTCTTCTAGATCTCTATTGCAATTTTATTCATTTCAATAGGCGTGGTTGTGGCTAGAGAAACACCTATCGGCTATTCAAGGCGCGGATTCGTGGCTTATAGGCAATCGGAACACACGATCCTCATCACAGCACCTCAGCGCGCACGCCAGCGCCCCAACGCGTAGCCCAGCGCCCCAGCACATAGCACCACAGCGCCCCAGCGTGCCCAGCAAGCCCAACAGTGCCCCGCAGTACCCCGACTGCACCCAGCCGTGCCCCGACCGGGCCAGCGAGCAGCCCGGGCCCGTCCTATGCCTTCCTTGCGTTTTTCCCGAAACTATTAATGTGCTTTTGACCCGTTTGACCTTGTTTTGCATGCTAAGTCTATATGTGGTATTTATATGCATTGTTGTCAAATCTAAGTGTTAGGTCCGAGTGTTCCAATGTGCACAGAACTTCATGAACTACTTGATTGAATCAAGTTCAATCAAGTATGATTGTGTATGCTCTATAAGGTCGAGATAGGTGTTGATCTTAGTATATTAATTGTTGTAGGTGTTTGACGAGCCATGCTCGCCGCCTACTCCTGATTGTGTGCTATTCCTTGCTGTATCAGGTGGGTCTTATTTAAATTGTCTATGCCATGAATGATATGTGTTTATATTTGTGAGTATGATCTATGCATGAACATGAAATATGTACCCTATCGATGTGAGCTGTTACGGCCGTCGGTAAGGTTATCCCCGTCGATGTAATACGGTTGCCCTTGTGAGGCAAGTCTCCTTAAGTCCTGATATGGCCGTGCCCTTGTGAGGTATGTAAGCCCATAGGAAGGCCGTGTCTGTAGCGTGGCATGTACTCCCGCCTTCGGGTAATGAATCCCAGTTCTGCGGCTAGCGATAGATGTGCACAGGTGTAATGTGGTTGTTGTGTTTTTTATAGGAGATGAGATATGATGTGATTATGATTATTTTATTTTCATGCTGCGACCATACTATTTTGACATGTCATCATTCATGTGCATAGTAGTGAGCACTACGTTCATTTTGTGCTCACTCCCACCTGCTCTTCACGGATGCAGGTTAAGTAGGTGCCAGATGACGAGGGAAGAAGAGTGGGTTGGTCATTGATATATGCTTTTGATTATGCTTCCGGTATGAATAATGTGTGGTCCTTGTGAACCTCTTTTGGTTGAGATACCTTGAACTTTTTTCAAAACTTATTTTTGGACCAATGTTTTCGTTTGGATATTCGAATTGGCATTGTTTCTTGAATATCATGTGTTCGATTATGTATGCTATAATGTTTATCTAATAATCATGTGAAATTGATGTGTTAAGGGTTAATGAAAACCATGTGAACAACCAGATATGACTTGGTTGATGTTAAACGTTTGAATAACGCCTATGTTATAAAAAACGAGTTCGGAAATTATTTACTGATTTTTGGAAAGTCCGGAATTTCTTTAATATCCAAAGTGGGGTGTTTCAGTTTGGTATCATAGCCAGTCTGCGTTTCTGTAGATTGGTTTATATGTGATTATGTGTTTAGACCTTGTAATATAACCACTCGTCTCCGTCACTCCGCGCTGCTTAAGGTATATTGATTTAAGTTTTACTGAAAATACTTGATATGTAAATGTACACTTGTGGCAATGAAACTACTTGTGTTGAACTTGTGATTTAGGGCTTACGATCTATCCACCTTTATTTAATCAAACTCTAGTGTTTAATGGCCAACTCTAGACTTTTGTAATTATGATTATTTTGTTTTTTTTGTGCTAAACCCTGTTCGGCTTATTCAATGTAGAGTTATGAATATACGCAACAACCGTAATCGTCAGCCATCCCCGTCTCCTTCTCCGCCTCGTTGTCATCACCAGGCCCCTCCGGCCATGGACCTTACCCAGCTCATAGTCCAGTTTCAGAGATTGAATGCACCGACTTTCGTGGGGACTGAGAACCCCACAGCAGTACTGGAGTGGATCAAGGATCTGGATAAGATTTTCGCTGTGCTCCCCCTCCCGGACCGACAGCGTGTATCTCTCGCAACTTATCAGATGAAGGAGGATGCTTCTGACTGGTGGATTGACCACTGGGCTTGGAGGCTAGAGGCGGAGCTTTATGCTCTCACTTGGGAGCAGATGAAGATGATGGTGCGTGGCAAGTTCCTTCCCCAGAGCTTTTACGATAGGATGGAGCATGAGTTCTACCATTTGAAGCAGGGCAGCTCCACCGTGGACGAGTATATTCGCACGTTCACCCGGATATGTCTTTTTGCGGGCGGCTCAGTGAACACCGATACCAAGAAGGCCCGCAAGTTTCTCAAGAGGCTCAATCAGAGGATCCGTGAACTGGTGGGGAGTCACGGACTGATGTCTTTTGCTGACACTGTGAGTCGGGCTCAGGAGGTAGAGAGTTGTCTCATTCTGATAGCTCTGGTCCCTTCATATTATCATGCCTCCTAGCCTTCTCAGACCATTGTTCAGCATGCCCAGCCCATTTCTTCTGCGTCGCCCGGCTCTAGCTCGGGCAAGAAAGGCAAATTCCCACCGGGATAACCGGAAGGGAAAGCGAGGAGGTCCAGACCGGCGCAATCATCCCTCTTTTGGCAACCGAACCTGCAATAAATGTGGCAAGTACCATAGTGGCGAGTGCTTAGCTGACCAACGAACCTGTTTTAATTGGAACCGTCCGGGCCACTATGCCAGTGTCTGTCCTGAGTCTAGGAAGCAACAACAGTTCCCTCGGCAGCAGCAGCAGCACTTTCCCCAACAGCAGCTTCCCCCACCGCCATCACATCAGCAACAGCAGCCCCCACCGTTCCAGCAGAGGACTGGAGGTCAGGCCCGTGCCTATACCATTACCCACGATGAGGCCGCCCGCAACACAGGTACTATGCCTGGAATGCTTTCTATTACCAACGTGCCTGTCTTTGCATTGTGTGATACCGGTGCTACCCATTCTTTTATCTCTTCTCGTTGCTTGGAGGCCCTATCTATTAGTACTGTGATTTCTTGTGATCCTCTCGAGGTTAGCCTAGCGTCGGGAAAAGTTATTATCTCTGATTCGGTGATTCGCAACCTTCCTATTTGTATTGGTGGTCGAGTTTTGGAGGCCGACGTGAATGTTATTGAAATGCGAGAATTTGACGTGATCTTGGGCATGGACTGGCTCACTCGTTATCGAGCCGATATTCGGTGCCAGGAGCGCTAAGTCACCCTCTTTCCCGATTCCGATCAGCCTGTTATATTCTATGGGGTGAAGTCGAGGACTGTGCCTCGAGTCATCTCTTCTATGCAAGCTAGTAAGAGCTTGTCTAAGGGTAGCTGTCAAGGCTATCTTGTTTCTTTGGTGTCCGATGTCATTGATGAGCGCGTACCCGAGAGAGTATCCATCGTTTGTGAGTATCTCGACGTTTTTCCTGATTATTTGCCCGGAGGACCGCCGGACCGCCAGGTGGAGTTCACCATTGACCTAGTTCCAGGAGCCGGCCCCGTTTCTAAGGCCTCTTATCGTATGGCGCCGAAGGAGCTTCAAGATCTCAAGGCCCAGATCCAGGAGTTTCTCAACCTCGATTTTATCCGTCCGAGTATTTCGCCGTGGGGTGTGCCCGTCCTATTCGTGAAGAAGAAAGACAAATAGATGCGCATGTGTATTGACTATCGGGAGTTGAATGCCCTTACAGTCAAGAACATGTACCCCCTTCCCCGCATTGAGGACCTTTTCGACCAGCTGAGGGGAGCCAGCGTCTTCTCAAAGATTGACTTGCGTTCTGGCTATCATCAGCTGAAGATCCGGGAGTCAGATATTTCTAAGATTGCTTTCCGTACCCGCTATGGCCAATATGAGTTTGTGGTAATGCCGTTCGGACTCAGCAATGTCCCAGCTGTTTTCATGGACCTTATGAATAGGGTCTTTCATCCTTTCCTGGACCAGTTCATCATTGTGTTCATCGACGACATTCTGGTCTATTGCCGAGATATCGATCAGCACAAGGAGCATCTGAGGATTGTGCTGGAGACTCTTCGCTGCGAGAAGTTGTATGCTAAGTTCTCGAAGTGCGAATTCTGGCTGAACCGTGTGGGATTCCTTGGCCACATTGTGACAACTCGAGGCATTGAGGTGGATCCCAGCAAGATAGAGGCAGTGAGCAAGTGGGATACCCCGTGAAGTGCCGTGGATGTTCGTAGTTTCCTGGGGTTAGCAGGATACTACAGGAGGTTTATCGAGGGCTTCTCGAAGATAGCCCAGCCACTAACCAACCTTACGAAGAAGGCCGTGAGGTTTGATTGGAGTCCTAAGTGCGAGGAGAGTTTCTAGGAGTTGAAGAGGAGACTCACTACCGCGCCTGTCCTATCCATACCCGACCCTACTTTGGAGTTCACCATCTATAGTGATACGTCGAAGATGGGTTTGGGATGTGTCCTTATGCAGCAAGGGAAAGTTGTAGCCTATGCTTCGAGACAGCTGAAGCCTCACGAGCAGAACTACCCCACTCATGATCTTGAGTTAGCTGCAGTTGTCCACGCCTTGAAGATTTGGCGGTACTACCTCTATGGAGGCAAGTGTGAGATCTTTACCGACCACAAGAGCCTAAAGTACATTTTCACTCAGAAGGAGCTGAACATGAGGCAGCGTAGGTAGTTGAAGCTGGTCAAGGATTACGACTGCACCATTAGCTATCATCCTGGGAAAGCTAATGTGGTAGCCGATGCCCTTAGTCGGAGGAGTTATGGCCAGCTATCTTGCTTGTTCACCGAGCAAGATGTCCTTCTTCGGGAGTTCGAGCGACTTCAGCTAGAAGCAGTGGTGTCGACTTCAGCAGATGGGGGTGTGTTAAGCGCCTTGGTTGTAGGACCGACTCTTCGTGAGAGGATAGTCGTCGAGTAGCCGAATGATCGTTTCCTATGCCGGATGAGAGAGTTGTCGGAAGCCGGTAGAGTTGGTGGATTCGCAGTCGCATCTGATGGGGCCTTGGTCTTCGAGGGTAAACTTTGTGTTCCGAAGGTGTGGGAACTGCGAAAGGAGATTCTGAGGGAGGCCCACAGTGCCCCGTACACCATCCATCCTGGTAGCACGAAGATGTATCAGTACTTGAGGAAGTCTTTCTGGTGGCAAGGCATGAAGAGGCAGGTAGCGAGGTTCGTGGATGGGTGCCTGGTGTGTCAGCAAGTGAAGGCTGAGCACCAGAAACCGAGATGGTTGTTGAAGCCCCTTGAGGTTCCCCTGTGGAAGTGGGAGTGCATCATCATGGACTTCTTGGTGGGACTGCCGAGGTCGAGGGTCGGGCATGATTCAATTTGGGTGATAGTGGATCGCCTTACGAAGTCTGCCCATTTTCGTCAAGGACATTGTGAAGCTTCATGGGGTGCCCCTGGAGATTGTTTCTGATCGAGAGCCATGGGGACGAGGTTGGAGTTCAATACAGCCTTTCACCCCGAGATAGATGGTCAGTCGGAGCGTACGATCCAGTACTTGGAGGATATATTGAGGGCTGTGGTCTTGGACTGCTAGTCGAGCTGACCTACAACAACAGCTACCACTCTTCGATCAAGATGGCCTCGTACGAGGCTTTGTATGGACGTAAGGTCCGGACTCCTTTGTATTGGGATGAGGTTAGAGAGAGGAGGATTATGGTCCAGAGTTTGTCCAGAGTACTGCGGCGACAGTTGAAGAGATCTGGAAGACCATCAGGGCTGCCCAGGAGAGGCAAAAGGTCTATACCGACCAGAAAAGGCAAGAGCATGAGTATGCAGTTGGAGATCATGTCTTCTTGAAGGTTTCACCCATGAAGGGTGTGATTCGCTTCGGGAAGAAGGAGAAACTTAGACCTCGCTATATCGGGCCGTTTGAGATCCTCGATCGAGTCGGGGACTTGGCGTATCGGCGGCTTTACCACCAGACTTTTCGGGTGTGCACGACGTGTTCCATGTCTCGATGCTTCGGAGGTATGTGCATAATCCTGATCTTGTGGTGGACTTCGGCGAGCTGCAGGTCGAGCGAGACCTTACCTACGAGGAGGTATCGGAAGGTCCATCAGCTGAAGAACCGGGCAGTGAGCTTGGTGAAGGTGCGATGGAGCCGACACGATGAGTCTGAGTCGACTTGGGAGAGGGAGGACAATATTAGGAGGTGTTATCCAAACTTTGAGTTCTGAGTTCCTCTTGTATTTTATCGCTTTCTAGATTTCTATTTATTTCGAATTTCGAGGACGAAATTCTTTGTAAGGTGGGTAGATTGTAACGCCTCGTTTGAATTAGAGTTATTTGGGATTTTATTAATATATTATTATTATTATCATTTGCCATTATTATTATTATTATTATTATTATTATTATTATTATTATTATTATTATTATTATTATTATTATACGTGTTGATTTATATTTAATTGTCTAATTTCCTAAATACTTTTAAGTACTTAATATGTATTAATTATAAATATTAAAAATGTGGTTTATAAATATAATTGCTTGATATTATTTTAATTTATATCTCACCATACCGAGCCCGATATTTTTCCTAAGTATTAACCGCGTATCCGATCGAACATCAAGTCGCGCCCATGGTTTCAAACCCGCGCCCGTGACCCGAAGGCTCGCGCCCCACCCGACCGAGTCTCTCCCCTCCCTTGTGTTTTGTTTAGGCAAGTTTTCTTGGAAGGAAAGTTTCCAAACCCTAAAGCTAGCCCTAGCCTTTATAAATAGAGGAGATTGGTCCCTAGTCTCGTCAAATTATTTTTCCCGCAGCCACTCTCTTCTCTCTCGCACTCTATCTTTTTCTCTCTTGTTCCGATCGCTGCCCGTCGCTCATCGGCCTGTGGCCATCGCGACACTGCCGTGCATCGCCTCCATCACTGTCCATCTCAGTCGTGCTTCACCGCGGCAGACATCATGTGTTGCTGCTCGCCTCCATCGACCTGCTCCTCATCGCGTCCCTGTGCGCGTCATGGCCATCGCCGCTGTTCACATACCGCTGCGAGGAAGCGTTGCCCAACAGTCCCACTCGCGGCACCCAGTTCACGTGTAGCGGTCGTTCGTGTATTCCCAGGCCATCGCTGTTCGTGCTCCCTGTCGCTGCCCAGTGTGACTGCGACCACACAGACGGCCCAAGCAGACGCGCGAGCCAACCCCCAGCGCCAACGGGCACGCCACGCGAAGCTGTCGTGCCAGTGTGATCGCAGTAGCCCCCTCGGCCCCGTTCGACCCTTGTTTCATACAAATTTCTCGAGAACGGTACAAGGCTGATAAAACCCCTTATTTTTATGTGTGTATATGTTATGTATCAAGCCTTGAGGAGATTTGCATGTTAGGGTTGAAATATGATCGTTTTATTTGTATGATATATTCGTTATATGTGAAAGCATGTGAATTATTGGTAAATCATGATTAGGGCTGTGGAATGTTGGAACATTTGAAGTCTTTGACCTCATGGTGAACGCCTTAGACGTTTTTGTTGAGTATGTGGTCATATATGTATTTTTGAATTGGGTGTTGCTGCTGATTTTTACAAAAATTATCATAAATTATATGTTCGTCCAATTGCTGTACAATTCGAAATGTATGACCCTCTATTGGTATGTTATGTGGTGTAAAATTTTTAGGCTGAAATAATATCTGTAGCTATGTCAAATGCCGATTTGAAATTTTGGGCAGAAACTTCAAAAAATCATTAAAATTCAGATTCTTGGTATTTTGCTGTGATTTTTGGTGAGTGTCATTATCCTGGTGTTATATGCTTTGTCTCCAAATTTTGTTGAAAAATTCCAAGGATTGCTCGGTGAACTTGTAAATTCAGATTTTCGTCATTTTTTCGTAAAAATTGGTTGCTCAGGTTAAACTGAGGTCTTGGGTCTGAAACTTGGTGAAAACGTGTCTTTCTGGGTCTATTTTTATGTGTAAAAATTTTAAGTCAATCGGTCGAGTGCATTTTAAAAACGATCGGGTCCATTTGGTTTACTGCCTGTCTGCCGGGCCCTGTGCACTTCCGCCAGCGCCCCAGCGCGCAGCACAGCGCCCCAACGCGCACGCCAGCGCCCCAATGCGTATCCCAGC